TCATTCAAAAGAGGCAACAACCGGAACAACCGGAAGACAGAGAAGAAGAACAGACTCGGTGATATAAACAAACAACAAATAGCGTTTTTGTTTCCATTTTCACTCTCATCCATTGAAAACATGAACGAACAGGAGCTCTATAAACAGATTAGGTGAAATAGCCGTCCGTGTGTGTTCCATCTTCCATTTTAAATCATTTGTTTACCTCCCTCACTTCTGTTAACGCTTCTCATGCACTGATTCGCTAGCTGAACAGCCAATCAGTGTTATCCCTTTGTGCGACTTCCGGTGGTGTTCCCAATGCCGAATCGGCAAGAAAAGGCGTCAGGTCGGCAGAAAAGACCCGACGGTGCGGCCCACACCACTCCGAATAGGGCGTGCCCACGCTCATGTTCGGCCCGACTCCCATTTACTGCCGATTTCGGGCCGGTGTATCTGGGCCTTTACATTAAAGAATAACACATTGAATAATAATGGGGCTTTGATAAGGCTTCCTCCTATTACATTTTAGTAGCCAACAGAGGATGATGGAAAGTTTAGCATAGTAACCGTTCACTATTTCAGTGAAACTATTATATGGACCAAATTTCACATACTGTAGAGCTTCTAATTGGCTTAGCATGGGATGCTAAGCAGACACCATATTTATACTTTTTAGACTTAATCAAATTACATTGGGAACTTTATGTGTTTATCATATCGTTCCCAACACCCTAGAGTGTCTTCAGTAATTTGGCTCAGATACCATCCACCTACTCAAAGAGAAGAGTGAAGACTAATGTCATTTCGAGGGGATTATTGTGATCTTTCAACACATCTTTGGGGGGTTAAGCATGTTGTTAAAGGGAGGAGGGGAAAAGCAAGAGAAGTGATAAAACCCTACCACAGAGCCGCTGTTTTAACTTTCACATTTTCTCCCCTCTCTCTCCTCCTATCTCTCTCATTTTCTCCCTCACAGCACCATAAGACATATTATGTGCTTGTCAAGATGGATAAACCCCTCAGCCAAATGTTTAGATGAAAACAAATAAGTAGGAGACGTTCATGTAATCGCTTCTGCCAGAGAAAGGCTTTAAGAAGAACATAAACACTTTCTGGAAATGTGCCTCGCATGTACTAATTCCCTCACGCTTTTGTTTGAGTCTCATTCAACTTCAGGACCATTTCATACTGCACCATGATGAGATGTCACCATCGGAGACACGCTTAAAACTACTTTGCAACACGGTTAGCAGCAGTGAACAAAAATACGAGATCATATTACCTTGCTGCTTGTAAAACTGTCATGATTATGTTCTAGGGAATTAAGGAGAGAATTCTTAAATAAACCTGGCTAGGATCACGAGTGTGCAGAAAAATATTTTTAAAAACAGGATAAACCGCCACTACTTGTGAAATGATAAAACTCAGAGTGCTACATTATCAGTTCACGGATGCCCTTTGGTTGTTGTGTTTTTCCATGGGATGGCTGGGCCCTTTTCTCATGAGAAAAGTTCCCAAACTCTCACAATCCTTCCGTCCAACTCATCTAGTGAAGTTCCCATGGTCCTCGGACAGCTCACAGACGAGTGCTCCAACTGCTTCAATCAGATGGGGACTTTGCTTTGGTCGGCACACCATAGTGTGACTTCAGAATTATTGACCAACTGCATGCAAACTACTGTTTATAAAAAATCTAAACATTTTCTTTCTCAAGCATAAATTATAAATGTTACTTTAGTCAAGGGTGAGTGAGCATTTTTGGTTCAAGTCACAGTTAAATAAAGAAAAATGAGGTCTCAGCTCCCTTTTCCCTTTCTGCACTGGGTCTGATGCACAGATTGTATTCTGCAAGAAAAGATAAAGCAGATTTTAGAGAGAGATAGAAAGAGAGAGAGAAAGAGAGAGAAACAGATGATAGATGAGGAAAAACATATAGTGACCAAGAGGATGCTCACGAAAGTTCCTGAGAAAAAGCTCTCCTCTTGTTAAATATTAAAGCAGTAGGACACTCAACTTTCCTATCAACTTCCATGAGCTTCTTGAATTCACTCGGTGCGTCAATGTCTCTCCTGAATCCAGGCCTGCAACTAAAAGGTCTGTATCTTTACCCTGCTTCAGTGCATACAATTACAGCTTTCAAGCAATGTCTGTTTCAAATGTCACATCTATATCAACAAAACAAATACACCTTACATGACTTTTAACACTAAATCTATAATCAGTTTCTGTTCATACAGTGAAATGGCGCAGCTCGAGAATTGATTTCTCCACGGCAATCAGACGTCTAAAAAGAAAAAGAAGTCCATTTGACGTGGTTAGAATTTTAAGGAAAACCATTAAGCCTGATAATGGGTAAATCCCCAAAACTAACACTGAGCTTGTTAAAAGGGAGCACTGAAAAGTCGATGCTTTGGACTAGCCTGATTTCAAGGTGATGTAATGCACACAGAGCACAAATAGCAACTGGATGAAGGGCTGCGGCCCTGACCTCTGTGTCTAGGGAACTCATTTTCATAGTAACTAAACACCAATGAAATATCTTCCCTAGGATGAGCCAAGCCAGAGCACCAACCGTACAATAAAAGGGATGGGGGTACGAAAACATGCTGAACAGGAAATCATTTTGGGGATGAAAAAACAACATGTTCTGATGACCCATTCAATTTCCTCTGAACAACATTCAATCTTTTACTTTTTCAATTTATTTAAAAAAACTCTGTAGTACATTTTTGTTTAAATGTTAAATAAATAAACTACATGTATGTGAACGTGCTTCATATATCAGTGCAGTTTATAGAACAGATAAAAAGCTTTTTCTATGAGCTTCATTTGGTAGTGCTGAGCAACTGCCTTTATACGATTCGCAGATTACCTGTCGGAAAAAATCGGACAAAATTCCAATCAAACGAAATCATCCTGAACTGTAACTAAATCACACATACAGTAGATTCAATTACTCCTCAATAGGACATATCCAATAATTGAGCTGTGGACAACCATGTAAGCCTGGTTTTAGGCCTGTGGCATGTTAACTAAAAAGCAGGCAGAGCGAGTGAAGCCTGCGGGCCAGCTGGCAGGGCTCTAGTGTTTGTGTTGTGCTAGTTGGGATGTCAGGGCTAGAGTGGACTGGAGGGGGCTGGAAGACCAGGCCTCCTCCGGACTTGGCTGCTCCGACTAAATGGACCAGATCAATCACATTGGACGGCCCTGTGACAGTGAGTTAAGGTTCTGCAGCACGGCACAGCGTTTTTGGACGCAATGGCCCTCAGCATGGCTAGCTGACTGGCTGGCAGACGCACACGCCCGTTCCTCTCGCTTTCCTTGGGCTCACCAAGCAGATGGCGATGGCAAGGACGGAGGCAACAAGCCTGCCGTCAATCCCAAACCCCCATCCATCCAGAGACAAGTGATAAGATAGATTAGGCTGTGGGAGAAGGATGGAGTGGATGGTGTGGGTGGAGGGTGGACTGGTGTCAGCCAGGCCTGGGCTCGATCACACAGCTGGGCAGGGATGGCCTGGCCTGAGGCTGGATCTATGAGGCGTGGCACTGGATAGTGGTTTGGGGATACAGTGTCAATGGAGGTCCCAGACAGTGGTGCAGCATGCTAACATGTCTGAGGTCTGCCTGGCACGGCCTCTGTCGGAATGTGTGTGTGTGTGTGTGTGTGTGTGTGTGTGTGTGTGTGTGTGTGTGTGTGTGTGTGTGTGTGTGTGTGTGTGTGTGTGTGTGTGTGTGTGTGTGTGTGTGTGTGTGTGTCCCTCGAGGTAGTGCCAGCTCTGTGTTTGGTGGCATCCAGAGACGGGGCAGGGCTAGGCTCATGCTGTGACACGCAGAATTGCAGAAATATATGACCTACATTGCCATAAGAGAGGGAGGATGCTTAGCTTTCACAATATACACAGGAGCAATCTGATGCTTAATGTGCAAAATAACTTCATGTACAATTGTATTTTTTATTTTATATAAATGTCTGACCAGCCTACCTTTTTCCCATAGAAGTTATGGAATAGATGACTTTTTTCTGCAAAGTTGTTGTTCAGACTATTATATTTCAAGGTTGGTAACATTTATTTTCATAAATTGTATCAACACCACTAATGGTAAAAGATGCCATACGTTGGATAGTTTGACCTGATTTCCAATGACTGTGTCTAAAGAAAAGATCAACAAAGCCCCATGGTTTTGCAGAAAAAATAATACAATAATTCAGTTATTCCAGATTGTGTGCCGTGGTAAGTATAATGCTCTCAATCCATACTGTTGAAAGGCGCATGAAATGCCATAGGCATTTTATTCCTAATCCAGATTTGATCTGATTCTTTGTTGTGTTACACAAACTGGGGGTTGGGTGGTTGGGTATTGGCTTGTCAAAGTGCATTGTTTACTTTCTGACAATGCATCCTCCCACTTATTTCTATGCAAGTGGCACAGATTGTTTTTATTCCTGAGAAGCCACATTTCAAAGCTCCAACATACTCCATTACAACATTACATCGGTTTCTGTGCAAATATGTAATGTATTCATGCAATGCAAGCGACTTTGCTGGGTTTATTGATTTTTCTATAATAATATTGTCAAAATTGTAATTATTATTCAATCCATGTGTATCAAGATAATCTAATCCAGTTATTGAGCATCCATCATTGCTTTCAATGTGCAGTACATCTGTTTCACATCATTAAATGGACTGAAATGAATGCCGTTGCAAAATGATTTTAAACCATGCTCAGTGGTTATATTATTGAATTCTGGTAATAGTTCTGGCCCTGCAACATGAAAATACAAATTGGCATCTATGATCTGTTTCATGGTTAGAGACAATTATATCCAGAAAAAAAGGAATTTAAAAAGGGCAATGTTAAAGAACATAAACAGACTGTTCACTGAATGTAATTGCAATTTACATTGAACAGATCTTATAGAACTAAGCCTTTATTGTTTTTTCACTCTTTCCAGCTCTGTAGTTTACATTTCAATTGAGACCCTATGGAAAAGTATTCAACTCATATCCACCATTAACTTTGGATGATGACCAGCAGACCAATGGGTTCTAAAACACATAACAAATATTTATCAGAACCGTCACAGTGTCTCGCCATGCTCTGGACACTGTAACTAATTGGATATCCTTTTTTGTTATCACTTCTCTCTTGGTGGTTGAAATGTAAACAGGGTGTTATGAAAGTGCCCTTATGGCGTGGAGGGAAGCAAGCGAGGCCACTCTGGCACTTACACGGCATGCCTTATAAATAAGTAATGGTACTGGACGTGTAGCGGTTAGTCATAGAGGAGGAAGGTCTGCGCATCAACCCCACCTCTGTTTGCCTTGTACATATTTCATAAGATGCTTGGGTGGAGGGAAGTGGGAGGTTGTGGGGCATATGGGAGGGTGGTTGAAATAAAAGGCAGCTCGCACAGGCTCCTCTCTGTTCACTGTCATGGGTCTGTTACTATTAATAATACCAAGTGTCCTCTCTTTTCTACTGATACAAGTTCATGGTGTTTTTCTCCTCCCTGCCTTCCTGTATTTGACAACAAAATAGAGCCAGCTGCCGCTGCACCCGACGTAGCCCAGGGAGAACACAGTACAGGTTGCACAGTGTTAGTTTAAACAATTAAGACAAAGTTTCCTTTACAGACTCCAGATGACCATTTTCTCAACGGCTTTGATCAAAGTTGGCATGGAAAAGTACACACAAGCATTCATAGTTCATACTGAGAAAGCAATACATGTTTTTTATGATGTGTATTGTTTGGGGTGTCACTCATTATGTTTACCCTGTTTATTCTTATTTGTATTAGTTTAAAAACACTAGCTCAAGAACAATTTTTCCAGTTTTGGTTAAAGTGGCATGTATTGATTAGAAACTGTAGGGATGAGTCCATTTTCTTACCACTCCATTCACAAACATGTTGTCAATTAAATGGAGCTACATATGAATCAGCTTGAACGTTTCTAATGATTCCCCACCAATCAATGACCTTCGTGATAACATAATGGAGGTCATGTTATCTAAATAGATCAGGTTTCATTTACAGTTTACTCAATGCTCTAAAACACCTTGAATTATTGATTGGAAGAAAGGAATTAATCCTTAAGATCAATTTTATCCAAACAATACTACACGTAAAAAATAGGAAGAAAGCAGAACCACATTAATTGAGTGGCCTCTCTGTGGAAAGAAAATATTACGGATGTGACACCAGTTCACACAGTTATACTTCTTTAGGTCCTAATAATCCCTCTGACACCCTGAGAAACATATATTTACAGAAAAATCTACAATCATAGCTTTTATTCCCTATATTTCCATAATGAAAAAGATTGTGTCTACCTTTCCCAGTCTCCAGCTCTAGTGCTCTAATGCTGTACCCACCAGCATGATTAATGGCTATGCTACCGATCAATCCCAGACAAAAGCGTGCGCTCATAAAAATGTTGATCTTGAGTAATGTTGAGGATAGCATCCACTAGTAGAGTAGAGACAATGAAGCTAACACAAACACATATATGAACACTTAGTCTAAGTAAAAGTCCTCATCTAGGCCACAGTTTCCTTATCAGAGGCACATGCAAGAATCCACGTTTCCTCTTTCCTTCACCTATCACATCTTTCTTGATTTAATTTGTTAAGAGTCTTTTACATACAGTTTTCTTTCCTACCTGCCCGTTTTTCTACACAATTTAAAGTATTTTTGCTAGAAGAGTGAGTGAGTTTACCTGACTTTCTCTACTGTGGTATATATACATTAAAGCACACAATCAGGGGAAGATTACCTAACCTGTTGCCAGGTTACTGCTAGCCTGCAAACACTGCCTCTCAAGTTGGAACAAAGACGGAACAGATAGCTAGCAGAGCCTCAGCAGCACACCTCTAAATATAAAGTCTTCAGCTCTTGTCTGTTTGCAGTTCTCCCCCCCCTCTTTGGAGGAGGTTAATGGGAGGCGATGGTCGCACGGTCTGTTACCAAGGGCAAGTAAGCCTCAGGCCAACATCTGACTGTCCTTTATGTGTGTGTGTGTGTGTCTGTGTGTGTACCGTGAGCGTAATTGACCAGTATATCTACAATGTGAGAATTAAATCTACTTTGAGGACAAATAAAGCCCATTTTATGCAACTCATAGAGACCAACTAGCCCTAATAATCACAAATTACACACAAACAATGTGAATAGTCATGTTATATATTCTTAGGTCATGTGAGGACAGCCTATGCAATCCTTAGACTGAATACAAAGGGGATACTCACAGGATACTAACAGGGAACAAGATTTGCCCAGGGGCCTCTATTGCAAACTGACACAAGGCCAGGGGCCAGTTATGACATTTGAGGCTTGGCCCAACCTATGTCAGTGGGTTTTCATCCCAGTATACTGTAGGCCTATGCCATGAATACTGTATGTCTGTGGTAGGCAGATAGCATAAAGGGTCTTTAACTTCCATTTATGAATAAACAAGATGTATTAGTCTATTTAAAAACTTATTTTATACAAAAATCCCATTGTGTATCATCTTATTTTCATTGTGATTTAGAAAATGGTCAGTGTGCCGTACCTTATCTGGATCACAGGCCGTAAGTTTAAGGCTCAAGTGTTAGCATGCTGTTCAGGGAACTTCAGTGTTTGGCACCTTCCAGTTGGATTTATCTTGTATTTCAGTTCTTACCTTTTTTAGTACAACATTATATTGTTTGTGTAATGTTCATCTAAGATAAAACTTATATTTGATCAGAGCATCAAAGCGGTTATGTTAGCTAAGTCAACAGAAGTGTAAGTTTAAGTAAAGTGCTGTGAAACTTAATGTATGCTGTTGCTGTACTGTACCTAGCGTCGAGCTATGTGGGTCAGACATTGTGCTCCTGGGGGCCAATTGTAGCCTGCAGCTGAGGGTTTGGGCTGAGTCAGCATCTCCAGTCCACTCTGGGACCAGGATACAGCGCTGTGTTCCGCTGTGACTAGGCAACCAGCCTCAATGTTATGTGCACACATGCAACTGCTTTGCCTCTCTCTAATTTAAGTTTGGCTGTGTCCCACTTTTACTACATGCAGTCAAGAGGACAATACAGCTTCATAGAATAAGTCTACAAGGGTTATGCAAAGAAAAACAAAAGCACATACAGTTTCACTCCTTAATTTTTTACTGTAGCTGCGGCATTGTTTTATCAAGACATCCACAACATTCACAATAATATTAGGATTTATGAAAATGTAATAGCCATATGTATAGTCTTGGATTATTTAGAAACATATGACTGTGTTAATAGTTTAAATAAAAAATACATGTGAATTAAAGAGCCACATTTTTTCACATTTATCTTTTGCATTTTTAATTATCAAACTGGAAGAACTTGTGAGAGTAAACTATTTCCTACCTTTTTGTCCTTCTCAACCATGTCTTACCTACGTTCTTCACTGGTCCTTTGTTAAACGTTACATTCTAACACACAGTGTCCTACACACACACACACACACACACACACACACACAGAGACACACACACACCATACAGAGACACACACACACACACACACACACCATACAGAGACACACACACACACACACACACACACACACACACACACACACACACACAACACACACACACACACACACACACACACACACACACACACACACACACACACACACACACACACACACACACGACCAAGTCCTCCTGCTACAAAAGTTAAAATCTGATAAAAAGTGTTGTTGTAGATTATGCAGAGATTTGAAAGGTGCGGACGAGAGCTCATATTGAGTTCAATTCTTAATGCTGGGGATGACAGAGAACTGAGTTGTTAGGGTGATGAAAATGGATATATTGTGTTCAGTATCTTGCACTGCCGAGCTTGTGATTAATAATAAAGTTGTATTCATTTTTCTCCATCTAGCTTCCATGTGATGAAACCTCACACTGACGTTTCCCCATTTCTTCTTTATGATCAGATACATGTAGGTGTCAGGAAGTCCAGAAAAAGGGTTTGGGTTTTTTTTCAGAGCTTTTTTATGGTCATCAAAAACACAGAGGTACAGTAAGGGCAAGTTGCAGAGCCTTTGTGCCTATGAAGAGACAGAGGCAGAGAGCGTGTGGCAACATCTCCATAAAGCCAGGACGGTGGTTCTCAAGTCAGAAACATATTAAAACCGAAGAAAATGTATTGAATTCAAATTGAAAACATACTATAGATATTATTCAAATATTGTATATAAAGAAACAAGAAAAATCGCCTTTCTCTCTTTCTGATCAGGTAAGGCCACATTATAGAGATATGAAGCTCAGCGCAAGTTCAGACAGGAAGACCTATCACTTCGTATTGCACGTCATGGCAATACTCGCTCCCTTCACTAAATGATAGGGAGCGCCACTCCTCAGCAAACCTATCACGTCCCTCCATTCACAAGCCTAATCATCGCACCTGGTAATCCCTCTATATACCGTATTTTCCGGACTATAAGTCGCTCCTGAGTATAAGTCGCATCAGCCAATAAATGCGTCGTGAAGAGGAAAAAAACGTATATAGGTCGCACCGGACTATAAGNATGCTGATTAGACAGCATGATTATTGCACAGGTGTGCCTTAGGCTGGCCACAATAAAAGGCCACTCTGAAACGTGCAGTTTTGCTTTATTGGGGGGGTCTGGGGGGGTCCGAAAACCCTAGAGTTAAACCCTAACCCTAACATGTCACCCACTGACATGTTAGGGTTAGGGTTATGGTTAGGGTTAAACCCGAAAACATGTTTTAATGTGTCAGTGGGTGACATGTTAGGGTTAGGGTTAAACCTGACTGGTTTTCGGACCCCCCCAGATGCTGTCTAATCAGCATCTTGATATGCCACACCTGTGAGGTGGGATGGATTATCTCGGCATAGAAGTGCTCACTATCACATATTTTTTCAGATTTGTGAACAATATTTGAGAGAAATGGTTATTTTGTGTATATAGAAAATGTTTTGGATCTTTGAGTTAATCTTATGAAAAATGGGAGCAAAAACAAAAGTGTTGCATTTATATTTTTGTTCAGTGTATATATATGTGTGTGATTATTCTAGAAATATTTAATTGTGACTGGAAAAATATGCTAAGCCTTCTGTATAACAGGCCACTGATTTAAAGCTGCGGGCTGCTTTACACAGAGTAGGTGGAATACATTTATTTCAAAAGCGTTTAAGTCACTTAAGCCTTTAATAAAATAATGTTACCATATCACTTCTAAATGTCAGCTGATTAATGTATTCGGCAAGGTACTAAGCAGAGTGATTTGCTCTTCTTCACATTGCAGCACGACCCTTTTGTTTTTGCAATGAGAGAAAATAATAATTACCTAATAAATGGAATAACATTGTATTTTCAGATCCCAATATAATTGTTTGTGTCCCATCTCGGCCTACCTGTGATTCTCTCTGGAACAGGAGCAGGCTCGAAGCAGAAAGCTGAGTCCTCGGGCTGGTTTGGGGTGTTTGGGGGGGAGGAAGGGAGGGCGTCTGCATGGGAGTGGGAGGGTTTGTTTCTAACTAAACAGGAGGACAATGAAGCCAAGAGATCAGGGGAAGCAGGAGGTGCAGAGGGTTCTGTGGGTGATGGAGGTCTGGGCTCAACAACAGCCTGAATTTGGTTTTTACTTTGTGGAACGCTGGGCAGGGCCGAGACCGGAGGGGCCGGGCGAAGGGGTGATGTAGGCGGTGACATGGGGGCTCTGGGCCTTAGTGAAGAGGTGACAGGGCGGAAATTAGGGCTTGTAGGGGGAGAGGTGGCACGATAGATGGGGGAGGTAGCAGCCCGAGAGAATGGGGAGACCAGGGGTGAGCTGTAAGGGGAGGAAGACGTGCTGTCCTCTGCTTTAGTGAAGATGAAGGCTGTGTCTGTCAGGCTGCGCTGGTATCTTCTGAAGGGTTTGCCTGGAGAGAGAGAAAACAGTTTGTCTGGGCTGATCTTTGTGATTTAATAAGCTCGTCCCGACCTTCAACAGTTTCAGCATTTCTCTCTGTTTAAGCTCACACAGTGAACGTACCAGAGCGGGAGGATCCAGGGCTGGTGGGACTCTGTGTGGATGATGATGATGAGAGCTGCCTGAAGAACTCCCTGGGGTTCATGGAGCGCTGGGACACTAATTCTGCTGCCTCCTGCAGGTCAAGAAACATACAGATTAAGAATTAAATTGACATTTTTAAACAGACGTGGCCAGTTTTTAAGAAGGTTTCAACAAAAAACTGCATTCTAAAAGACAGGTCAGGTCTTTGACAGAGTAAAAAATAAAGTAGAGTTCAAAGTAGATTCACTTACTGCTGCTTTTTCTATGGACTCACTCCTTCTCAGACGAGCCCTCATGTCATCGAAATGCTCCCTCTGCTGATGCTCCTGTCAGTGCACAAACACAACAGCAATCATTCTCTTCCTTTTAAACTATTTAATAAAGTAGATGACAACACCTGAGATTAGTGTAACTTGAATGTTTCAAAATGTAGTCCTGAATGAATGATCTGAAAACTGCTGATACAAAGCAATATATCTGAAGCAGTTTCTTTTGTTTTACTCTTAGGCATCTCTAATATCTCTAAAGCCCCTGTCACACTGTCCCGAAATTGACACCCAATGGACACACGAATATGGAATTGTGAATTTCGCACGAAGATGGCCCCGAACCACACAAGGCAACATTTACATTACATTTAAGACATACAACTGCAACGAAAGTAACACAAACAATTATGTTAAAGTATTATGATACTGTACTGATATTTTCCGACTTTGTTCTTTACTTTCTCCGTCTTTATATGTAGAAGATATTAAGTTTTCTCCGTCATGTTGTTTCCATAGCAACAACAACTTCCTCGCCTTCAAAATAATATATTATATCCTTTTTAGTTTCACAGAACACAAATTGGGTTATTTACATAATATGTTTACATGATTTTGTTGTGCAATAAAACAACCAGATGGACACCCGATAAAGGAAATGTTCAAATTCGGCTCTGATCGTAGCAACATCAGGCCATTCGTGAGGGCATCTTAAGCCATCTTTGGCATGCCAAAGATTTTGCCACCGCTCCCGAAGTTGCTGCCGGAGCCTGATTAATTCCACCGGCGGTCATACGATGGCTTAAGATGCCCTCACGAATGCCTTATGAAGGGCAAAATGGAGACACAAAGTCAACACGAAAATGAACCTTCACAAGGTCCTTCGGCAATGCTTTGTGATGCCAAAGATGTTGCCACCGCTCCCGAAGTTGCTTCCGGAGCCTGAGAAACTCCACCGGCGGTCATACGATGGCTTAAGATGCCCTCACGAATGGCCCGATGTTGTTACGATCAGAGCCAAATTTGAACATTTCCTTAATCGTGTGTCCATGGGGTGTCAATTTCGGGACAGTGTGACAGGTGCTTAAACTACACACAAGTAAAACCACCATTACTCTCACCTCGCACAGGTATCACTGTACAGTCTGAACCAAATACCGGAGGTTAATGTGTAACTCTGCTGAAGAGCGCCTCCTCCAAAACTATGATCATACAAACAACCCACCTGCAGACTGAGACAGTTTCTTGTTTACTATTTGCACAGTTTAAACATGCTAGCAACAACCCTGGCATGTTTTGGCATTCAGCATACTCTATAATCGTTGTGTCTCTCATGCTTCGCTATTTCAAGCCGTGAATATGCATAGCAACCATTCAGTGTGTGCGACAAGGAATCGGTGACAAGTTAATTAGCTAAATGATAATGTTCTTATCAACTGTGCATCTATTAAATGTCTCATTATGAACTGAACGATCAGCAGCGGGTACATAGTCCACATTCCCCAGTACATTTGAATAACTCAACTGTTTGTTCATATAGCAGTTTATATGATGATGGAGGGGGTCATGAATTAAAGGTTCAGTTATAATATCCTCAGAAATAGTTTTGGAATCAAACGTCTCAAGGATAAAGGTCAATCCAGTTCTTACACAGCGGTCAATGACTTCAGGCATATCGGACCAAACTGGAAAGCCACAAGGCAGAAAAGCAAGTATCCATTTTGCCTCTACCCAAAGCCATTTGATTGAGCATTTTCAATCATTTTACAAGCCAAAGCTAGACGATCACTGAAAGGTTTAGCTAAACATAATTTCACTCACCCATTTTAATTTCTCCTTTTTGCCTAGCTCTTCTTCTTGCTCTGCCCGTTTTCTCCTGCGAGACAGGAAGACCAATAAAACAGCACCACTTGTTAGTGTTCCCGTAAATAATCATTGGGTGCATTTACTGTGTAATTTAATTGACTTTGCTCCTTCAATTTACACAAAATAAAGCCACTATAGGACAGTATTGAAAGCCGTTGCTCTCACCTTTGCTCCTCAATCATCTGTAGCTTCTCATTCATCCTCTTGTCTCTCTCATCTGCATCCGTCCTCTCTTTTAAAACTCTTTCTCTTTCAATGCGGCGTCTCTCCTCTGCTGCTCGTCTCTTATCATCGTCTTTCCTCTCTTCCTCTTCACGCTTTGCAAAAAAAACAATGGGAAACAATGAAATGAGTAAACGGCAGGGTGGCTACATTTAAGCCTCTAAACAGATGGATACTTTAGCATACCTCTGCACGGGCCCAGAAGGAGTCTCTGTTTATACGTCTCATCTCCATGGCAGCATTAGTTTTCCTGTAGTTGGTACCCTTTATGAAATACAAAGGAAAAGTGAATGCAGAGCCACACATTCTTAAAATGTCAAAATATGCACAGCTTTTTTTGTAACGATTATTATTTTCATGAGCATGGTTAAACAACATACTAAAAGTAAAACACTGAAGTCACTAAGGAGATACGTTTCTGTCTTGAATGATGTCATAATGTGTATATGAAAGTCTTTGTCTCCATCTGATGGGCAGACGCGGTATTGCAGTAGACTCACCACTAAGTCCTCTTTGTCAGCCGACCTGGAGCTCCTTCTCGCCCACTGGGTGGGAGCATTGGCCTGGACCTTGTTGAGCTCAGCTTGTATATTCTCCTCTGTCACATCCTCCACTTTCTCTGCACTGATGAACACATGAGCTTCCTGAAACACCAAGGGAAAGAGAAAGAGACGGCACATAGGTTTAGACATTATGTGAATTTATTCCACTGTTACATTCTGTAGACGCTATAAATCCATACACAAGTACACATAGTCCCTCAGGTGGTTTTCTCTTGGTCTTGCTTGGAGTTATGCAAACTCAGAGCCAAACAGTTGTGCAACTGCTTCAGTTTTAAGGATTGTTAGAGAGTGAAAATAATCCCTGGCTTTAGAATGAGCACAGGAATGCATTGGTTTGGATGGTTATTGATGGCAGTAGGGGGAAAATAGGGTGTGATATGGGGAAAGTAAGAATACAAGGGTGTGAAAGCTTGTGCTTTTGCAAGAAAGTAGAGAAAGACAGGGCCTTACTTAACATGCAATAGTTGCTCAATACTTGGAAATCAAGCTTAAGGGAGATTAAGAGACATAAAAACACTATCAACAGATCATATTAAAAAAACACAGAACAATAACATAGTGTTCTACTTATGTTATTTCTATGGGATGGATAGGTGTTAGACATAAGCTGAACTCATTCATGTATGTGGGCAGGACCTCAGAATGATTTCCTTTCATAGTAAGTCCAGGCTTTTCTGATGGAGAGCCAGGTCTGTCTGCCTCCGACAGGAAACCACGGCTTTATCTGAGTGGCACCGCTGACACTGACACTGAACAGAGCATTCAATGTGCCCTATAATACATGTCAGCGCAGTGTATAATCCGTATCACTCTAGCTGTCACTGCCAACTGCACACACACACCAAACAAGCAGTCCACAGTTCTGCCAGGGAGTCTTGGAAAATCATGGAAACAGACAGAGCCACAATCTACACAAAAAGCCCACAGTAGCAGAACAAGTTTACCCATTACACATGACACCAACCCTTTATCCTCATGAACTCTTTTTTATGAGGTACAGGAGGTACAAACACTGCCAGGGTTAGTGATGGTGTCACTATCCTTGTAGTTTATGAAAAAGCAGGACAAATAAGATATTTTCTTCCGTGCTCCTACAATTCTTCACGCAAATGATCTTTAAATATGTACCTTACTTTTTAAAACTCTTGTGGAGTCATTTAACAGCACTGAGGCACTTTAGGACCTGGATTCCTTTTGTATTATTTTATTCAAGATGTAAATCACAAGTGTTAAAGTTTAAATAAAGTCCCTAAGATTGTCTCTCACAATTCCCTAAATGTTCTTTTCCATCTGTTTCCACCCAGTTCCATGTGTTTTGCTGTAAATGCAAAGTATTCACACATGCCAATTGGCAAGATGTTTTACTGCTGCTTCAACAGTAAACTGCTTTATTCAGGAACGTGAGGCATAATCCTCCATATCTAAGGGAACATCTCTGCATAACGTCCAACGGGCATGTTGACTTGGAATCAAGTATTTGTAGCATTATTAACCTTGGCGATGAAAATGACGATGGGAATAAGAATACTATCTAAGGAGCCCGAGGTGATGTGACAGGTTGCGAAATACATGCTAAATATATAGTTGTGCTCAACTCTACACAAGCTGTCCGCTGTGGAACTGCTTCACACAGACTGTCTCTTTCTCAGGAGTTAGCGTGTCTGTTCAGGCAGATGCACTACGTGGATGTGGGGATACTCAAGTGTCCCAAGTTGAAGTCTGACCCAGTTTACTGAATTATAATAAGTTTTATTATTTCACAAAGAATTCCTCATTAAAATGTTGTTAAATTGTGTACATCACTGTGTTGAATAAGTTTCTTTAAATATAAAAAGATAATGTGAGGTGATTCATGGGCAGTTAGATTATTTATTGGTATATTTATGACATAATGTTCCACATTGGTAGTGACAGCTCCTCAGTTTAATTAAGACAGGAGGAGCAAAGAGGCCCATGTTGGTTTACATGAAAGTAAAGCCTCTGATCTCAAGTGTGTGTCGGGGGACAGGACAGACGAGAATGATGAAGTGCTTCAAGGGTTTAGTGCCTCGACCTGCACAAGTTGCTTTGCTCCACGTTTATAGTAGCATTATTGTTCTTTGTTAAAATCCAAATCTCATGCTCCACAGAAAAGGACAGGCCTTTTCGTGGACAAATGTGGTTATGCTTCTTAAATGTTTGATTAATTAAAGCATGGATTTGATTAATATTAAGAAAAAATGATTCAGCTTCACTTGTTGCTTCATTTCCAATTGTACAACACTTTCTAATACTGTATTAGATCATGTTATCCTCCAGTGTATCACTCATAGTATCAACATCTGATCTGACACACACACACACACCCTTCTGACTCACTTTATTCAGTTATTATTCTAATGTAATCGGAGAACAATGAAATCAGCTGCACCCTATTCATATGAAAGTTTTCATAACGTAACGCCACCCAGGAGTACAGTATGTAATGTATCCAAATCTGCCGCTGCAGACTGGCCTTAAAAAAAGCCCCTCACTGCCAGCTGGGACATGCAGCATAGCAAGCCAGGAACACAGAGACAACGTGAACAAAATGAAAGAGGAAAAAGGCAAACAACAAAAACACACCAACTAAGTGCCAAGGGAAAATCTAACTGACTGCATCCAAGGCAATGGAAGCCAAGACTCCAAGAAAACAAGTTAATTGAGCCCCCAGTTATTATCACATCAGTCGATTTCTGTATATGGGTTATCTCAGTAGTTCTGTTTCCCGTACATTGCGAGGTCAAGTATGAATTTAGCTGTGAGTCAGGATTGTTAGGCTGCGGCATCTGTTTATTTTCTGTGGACAACATTTAAATACAACCTTGCCTTCCCTTGCTGTAATATTAATATATATCCAACGTCCCCACCAACATCCCCTGAGAACATATGTGGGTATATGCAGGAATCCTGAAGTCAAATGTAATACCGTTTAAGACCTTTTTTAAGACCCTTTCCATACATTTTAAGACCTCATCGCCACTTTGAGTTTTATCCGGTTACATTGGCGACACACTCTACCTCACATTGACTATATACAGTATTGATTGTCCTTCCTCCTTATCTTCCAACCATTTGGACGCAGACTTGCATTTCCCCATAACGATGTTGTTTAACAACCAGCGTAAACGGACCGTCGTTAATCAATTATGTTTTAATTCACAAAATAATTATGTAGAAGTGGCCTAAAAACAGGAAGCCTTTGAGTTTTCACAACATGTATTTTGTAATGCCATGTCCCTGACTTGGCCTGAGCATTGGCTGGTAAAGTTTGGATTTCCTTTTGTCAAAATAGACCATTATTAAAAGTGCCACATTCACAATTATTGTCAAAAAAATACTTTGAATTAAAAACTTAAAACTTAAAACTTATTAATTGATCGACTTTTTTTTTATTAATCAATAAACATTGCTTCTTAAGTTAAAATTGTCCAGATACAGTTACATGGAGGCGGCGATTGAAGTAATTGATGCCTGTTATCTTTAAAACATGAGAAATCTGTGAGGTATCTACAATTACTGAATCTCTATACAGTGGGTCACTTCTTGGTGTACTAATTGTTGCCATGTGGATGTGAAATCCTTTTGAATATAAATATAAATTATTATCCAACTGCTGTGAGTAATTTTTTATCAGGAATGAATCACACGCCAATCCCAGATGATTTTACAGAGCGAGATATGACGCAGACAGCTGTGCTTTACACGTTTTCAACAATGCTTTCTTTACCGGCATATGAAGCACGTTTAAACTTTTTTTTCTCTCTTTACGAGCAATGAACTTCATGGGAAAGATGAGTCAAGAGGATTACTTTGCCTTAAAAATGTGTGAAAACGCCACGTTTGCTCGTAAAGTTGGAATGAACAGGAAACAGGATAGCACAGTTATGTCACTACAGTCTTGGCAAATGCAATCCATATGCTTGGCAGGGATGGCCATGGTTCAAGGTGATATCATATATTGTCTATTAATATGAACCAGATATATAATAAATCTAAGAAACGTTTCTTTCTTATTCTCAAAGTGTAAACTATTCAGAACAACAGTTTGGTCATGATTGAGTTCCATTTTTTGCCGTAATCACAGAGAAGTAGTGGTGACAATAGTGAGTAGTGTGTGGCTGTGTGTGTTTGTGTTAAGGTTAGGGGGTCACAATTGTAATGTAATGACATGCACACAGGACCAACACACACACACACACACACACACACACACACACACACACACACACACACACACACACACACACACACACACACACACAGGGGTAAGGCACTTTCAGTCAGAGGCTCACATAATCCCAGTCTTGACTTTCACCGTTTAAAAAAAAAAGGGACAAAAAACAACAAACATTCCACAAATGCTTCTGCAGTTGACTGGATGATGCCTTTATATGGAAACTAGTAAACCTAGGGGTCATTAGAACCTCTAGTGTGCTGCAACACTAAATAAAAACAGTTTGAGGAGCAAACACTGACAGAAGTTGCAGTTAACATTGAGTTGGACAGAGTTGCTTATATACTATTCATAAAAAACACATGAACCTGAATCATAAAAAATATAGATGAATTAGCTTTTTTCTATTCCCTCTACTTCATGTCACGGCTTGAGTTTGTGACGTGAATTCAGGTAGCACCGCAAACAATGGAGCTTTTAAGCCCAAATATAGCTGTCTCTCCCTGATAGCAACATGGCAGATAGACCAATCACATGACCAACACTGCAACAGAACAGGAAGTGGACTGAGGACAGGAAACTCTCAAAACAATACAAAGTAAACTCCCGTGAGTAAATATAGAGTTTGTGAGCACAAAGTCTAGCGGCCAGGGGGGGGGGAGTTGGACAGAAATGTTTGTTGTTTAGCAGGAATTTCGGTGTGTGACAGGTATATTCTTTTCATGAACATGACTACTTGAGTCTCAGCCATGACCGCAAATATCAAAGCTGCAATTCTGTCATCTTTAATGCACATTTAATGGGAAACTAAACAAATAGACAAACTAATGGATGAAGCGCACAAGGGTTAGTGATTTATGATTTTGCACGTCATGATGTACTGCACCTTGAAAAAGTTTTTGATAGCTGGAATGTGGCTGGCACATTCTGTCCTTCGGAAGTCATCCACATTTTGACCGACCTGCAGACAAAGACAGGATGGGGACACTTACATTCATATCATACCTCTCTTGGAGAGCACTAAAATAACACTAGAACAATAGGATTCACATTGCTGTGGTAAAATCTCTGTTTCAGCATTTTGATAATGAAAACATAGAAGCTCAAATATTAGCTCATTATTAGAATTAGAAGAAGAATTGGGAGGGATGAAACCCTCTTTTAATGGTCACACATGCAGAGCACACAGCACACACAGTGACATTTAGCCTCTGCATTTAACCCATCCTACCAGGAGTCTAGTACTAGGAGCAGTGGGCAGCTATTGTATTATGGAGTATAATTCAAAGCATCGGTATTGTTTTGAGTATTTACAAACCTAATATGAAAATAATCTTTGACACTGAGTGATTTCCTTTAATATGGCTGCGATATTACCAATATAACAGCCGATTGGTGTCATTGTAAACCCTTTCAGTATTATTTTACTGGACTTATTTTCATATATATATATTATTAACAAATCAAGGTTGCAGATCTGCAAAAAATGTTAATTCAATAGATGAATTTCAGTGCAGTACACTGATAAATACAAATATTAGACATGCCCTGCGATTCATAAAGATTTGTATGTAATACAATTAAGTTATAATACATCCTACCACATGTCAGACGCCAAATAAGCCCATGTGAAAACAAAACTATAGAATGTGAATAAGTCAAGAAGCTTAGGATTTTCCACAGAGCATTTAACAGATTAATTAGTCCATAGAGTTTTCAGTATGTGACTACTTAAGATGTTAAACCCATTGTCTTGCAACTGCTAAATGTCATTGCTGAATCTTTATGAATGGAAGTCTGTGAGCACCTCGGTGTACCTGCTGTTTTCATAGGTTTATGTGTCTTCCTGTAATTTGTGCTGCTGTGTATTTCTTTAACATGATAAGCTTGTGCTTACAAGTGCTAAGCCCCAGGAGCCAGCCTGCCACTCACCCAGTTGATCATAGCAATCCGGGGGCCTCCTGTCTCCACACTTCCCACTTTGCACAGTCCGTATTGAGGCTTGGAGATGTGAAATTTGCCGGCCAGTTCTGCCACACCACCCGCTGTTAGAAATTAGGGAACAAATGCAATGACATGATCCATTTTTGCTCAACAGTTGTAAGAATGTTCTCTTAACACAAGAGGTGAGGTGTATTCCTTTTAGGCTTACAGTCAAAACCCTGTCAGTGTCATTCTTTGCAGGGCTTAGAAATACAAAGTTAGCATTACAAACACACCACTTATTACAATCCATCTTACCTCCTGAGTCAGCCAGCTTGAGCTTGTTGGTGACTCCATCATATGCGAATATTGCCCTGAGGACACACAGAGAAACACACAGGTCAGCTACTGTGCAATATGAGTGACATAGACATGACCTTTGTAATGTCAACAAAACACAGGTTGAACAAAACGACTACTTGATTTTTGTGTGCCTAAAACTTCCATATCCAAGCTTGAGGATGTAGAGAGCTGCGTACGCCATGTGTTCAGTCTTTTATTGTTCACAGAGGACACACAGACCTGCACAGCCAGATGTTTTACCGCACACATTTTGTCTTAGCCATAACACACTTCTCTACATTGCACCAACCAATATGAATTCTCTTCAGCTGTGACACATGCATACATTTTTTCCCATTCCCAGAGAACTTTACATTACATGCGTAAAACAGGAAGGTCAACACAATGACCTTTATTCAGTGTTTGACTGAGATGGATGGCTCCTGACTGTGAAACAAACATATTTTGCACGTGAAAACCTGTCCTACCCGCACCCTGCAGTCAGTCAAACTGCAGGTCACCGTGGCAACTCAACAACTCATGATGTGTTACCATGAGATCAGTGAGATATAACTCTACTGTTGAACAAACTAAGAGCAGTGTTATTTTAAGATGTTAGCTTTGTTGCAGAATCTCCAAGGTCTCATAATCAACCAAAGAAAAACAAACCAAAAGATAAATAGGATTTTTACTTTGGGGCTTGTAAGGCCAAGCGTCTCCCTGCATGTTATCAAAACCAACAGTTCAGAGTCCAAAACGAACCCACGTGCTGTTTGACATGACATGACTAACATCATCTTGAATTATCTGTGTGTTTGAAGCACAACTGGGGGCAAATGTGTGTGTGCGTGTGTGTGTGTGTGTGTGTGTGTGTGTGTGTGTGTGTGTGTGTGTGTGTGTGTGTGTGTGTGTGTGTGTGTGTAACTTTACGAGGTTGCATGCAGAGAGAAGAAGTGTGTGTGTGTGTGTGTGTGTGTGTGTGTGTGTGTGTGTGTGTGTGTGTGTGTGTGTGTGTGTGTGTGTGTGTGTTTGGCTGCGTGTCTCCGTAAATGTCTCTCTGCAGGACTCCTTGGGTGTGTCAATAACATCTGGAGCGGGGTGGAAAGAGTGTAAGGCCATGAGCAGCTATTACAATGGGCCAAAGGTGACTGGTCTGTGTTTATGGATGTGTTTCTGAAGCAGGAAGTGAATGAGACACAGGAGAATGACACACAAATAGAAAAAAAAAGTTTGGGCCTACTCTCACAAAGATCTACATTAAAAACAATAGCAGTTTGGCAAAGAGGCTGACAAGAGGCCAGCTAACTCAGTTAGCATCTCTGAATCACTCTGTTATTTTTTCCTGACACAACAAGTCTCTGTCTGTCCAAAGAACAAATAGCGACAAATGTCAATCGGTATGTGTGTGTGTGTGCTGAGGACTCAATAACTATATTGTGCGCCCAATTGAGCCATTTTTAAGCTGCACCTTCACTTGTGAGCGGGCAACTTAAAAATGACTTCTCATTTATTTATTTTTCAGTTAATGCGAACAGGCGTTTCCTTAAAATTCCTTATAACACCAAGCAAAACCAAGTATTTTTAAATAAGATTTCGTCAGAATATGAAAAAGTCATGGAAACCTTCTGAAGCGCTCCCAGGCATTATATGAGCTTTGTGTCGCCCGGATCATTCACATATCTCCTTACAGATTAGTCTAGACACAGTAACTATATAAACAACACTCTCTATTCCCTCATTAGTCCTACCGGCATCCAGAGCTCAGACACCAATCCACAATTACCAATCCTTGGTCCTCAAGACATTCCTAAAGGTCACCATTTACGAGCAGTTAAGGTCAAAGGTCACTATGCCTCTGAAGGAGTCTTAATTGCATGCACAAATTCTCCACCCACCTGGAACAGGCTTGCACATGAGGTACACTGTGCTGAGGGAGACTCTTTGTTCTGCCAGAGCTTTCACTGGGATGGATTTGCAAATATCCTATTTTCAGGCATTTTTCTCCACAGAACTTTACTTAATCCCTGTCTTGGACATTACAAAGGTGAGGGGAATTACAAAAGCAATGATTTTACAAAAGCAACACAAAATAGAAAGTTAAGATTTTTTTTTAAATATATATATTTCTTAAATGTAATCAATCAATCAATCAATCAATAGGATACGGCTGTAATAGGCCTAAGACCTTTTAGTCGCTCATAAATAAATAAGTAGATCACTGTTCTTTATATGCTATGGATGCTGGCAACAGTCACATAGTCCAAAGTGAAGGTGATGTTTGACCAGTAATGGTCGAGACTGCCAAGG